AGTAGCATGGGTAATTTCACTTCTCTGTTATATGAGTCCAATCCAAGTACACTTTTGAAATAAAAGTTTATGATGTTTAACATGTGGGATGTTTCTGATACAGAGCTTCCTAGAAAGAAGAAACTGAAAAAGAAAAGTCCGGAAACAGAAGCAGGTTCTTCTTCTTCATCAGACAAGTCATGTTTTGTGGCCATTGTCACAGCTTCGAGTCTACGCACAGATACATTGGTGTTTACTTTACTCCCTCATTTACCAAAATTACATATTCTTTGCATATTATAGTTTAATCACTCACTAGAAGAAATGGCTGTTGCTAGGGTTGGAGGTTTAGGTTAGTCTAGTCTAGTCCGGTTTGGAAGAAAGTTTTTCAGTTTGGTCTTGGTTGATATACAAAGCTGCCCTTAAGTAAATTAGTCTGACTATTGTGTTAATTTGGTGTTTGCAGTATCTTCCACAATATTTCACAAACTCTAATGGTCTTACAAGAAAATGCTGCAAGATTGTTTTAATAGATGGAGGGGAAAGATCATGGGCATTGGACCTAAGGTTCAACAACTCATCTGATACTTTTTACATAAGCCGAGGGTGGAGAAATTTCTGTGACGAAAACGGTCAAAAAGCAGGAGGCTTCTTTATGTTTAAACTAGTGGGAAGCGGGGAAACGCCTGTGCTCAGTTTCTGCCCTACAGAATCTTATAATGATAGAAAGCAAAGAGACTGTGCTGAAGCTAGTGGGAGAGAGTCTCTTTCCCCAGAAGTCAGCTGTGAGGAAGAGAACATAGAAGTGATAGAGATAGAGAGCAGTGAGGACGAGTGCAGCTTAATGGAGTCGTTGTTGGAGATAGAAAAAACAAAGTATAGTCCGAAACGAAAAGTTTTATCATATTCATCATATTCACCATGTCATAAGAGATTGGTTACTTTCGCACTTCCACCTGATTATATCAGAATCCGTAGATTGGTAAGTTCATCAAAACAACTCTTGATTCTTCCCTTATTGATTTTCACGCATGTATTCATCCTCTGTTCAAATATTTACAGACCCTTCCAATGCCATTCCTGAGGGAGAATGACATCAGCAAGCCTGGGGAGATATATCTATTGGGAAAAGATGGTACAAAGTGGCTGACAAACCTTCTACTGGACAAGAAAGGATCAATGCGTTTGGGAAAAGGTTGGAAAGAATTTGTTAAAGCAAACGGCGTAAAGACGGGCTTCACGCTCAAGTTGATATGGGAAGACACAACTCCTGTGTTTAGTTTATGCGATGTAGAATCTACCATTGACAGAGAGCAAGAAGAGTTTTCAAAATCTAACGAGAAAGAGTCTCTTTTCGTAGATCCTAGCAAAAGCGACAAGATCAACAAGGATGAGAATAACAAAGAGGAGAGCAGGTCATGGGAGAGAAACAAGAATTATCTGAGAGGGAAAGATTCAACTCCAAGCAAAGATCAACTTGTGAAACTAACAATTACACCAGCCAGCGTCAGAAAGTGTAGACTTGTAAGTTTATCAAACAAGTCTTGTTTCAGGGGTTGTTATTATATTGTACTCTAATGGTTTTGACACATTGTTTTTGCTTATTATTGAAATTTCTCACAGGGTCTTTCAAAGTGTTTCACGAAGGAGAATGACATCAGCAAGCCTGGGATGATTACTCTGTCGGGCAAAGATGGTATAAAGCATGAGACGAAATTGCTACTCGAGAAACGGAGAGGAGCCATGGCTTTGGGAGACGGCTGGAAATCTTTTGTTAATGAAAACGGCTTGAAGACGGGTGACTCCTTCACGCTCAAGTTGGTTTGGGAAGACTCAACTCCTGTGCTCAGCTTGTTCCCTGCAGAACGTAGCATTGGCAAAGGAGGAGGAGGGTGTTCAGAAACAAACCAGAAAAAGTCTCTTCCCATAGAACCTAGCAGCTATAAAAAAATCAGCAAAGACGAGGATATCAATGACGACAACAGCAAAGAGAAAAACAACAATGAGGAAAACAGCAAAGAGGAGAACAAGTCAGTGGAGAGAGAGAAGACTCATCTGAGAGGGAGAGATTCAACTCCACCGAGCCAAAAACAATTTGTGACAATTAAAATTACACCTTCCAGTTTCAGAAACTGCAGACTGGTAAGTTTATCAAACAACTCTTGTTTCAGAGTATTAGTTGTCTCTCTTGTACTCTTATTGATTTTATCACATAGCCAAGACCAAGAGGGTATTTATATGTTGTACTTTCAATTCTTTTTCAGATTCTTCCAGCGCAATTTGTGAGGGAGAATAGCATGAACAAGCCTGGAATAATATATCTCGTGGGTAAAGATGGTACGAGGTGGCTGACAAACCTTCTACGGGACAAGAAAGGAACAATGAGTTTGGGAAATGGTTGGAAAGATTTTGGTGTAGCACATGACCTAAAGTCACGCGAATCCTTTACGATGGAGTTAATATGGGAAGAGGCAACTCCGATACTCAGTTGGGCTCGTACAGAGTCTTGTATTTCAAAAGCTAATGAGAAAGAGTCAGTTTCCACAGAACCTAGAAGCAGAGATTCATCCTCGGCAACCCAAAACCAGTTCGTGACATTAGCACTTACGCCTGAAGATGTCAGAGCGTGTCAACTGGTAAGTCCATCGAACAACTCTTGCTATTTATAAGAGTTAGTTTCTGTCTTGAATTCTAATTGGTAATGAGATGTCTTTGTTCAAATATATTTGCAGCATCTTCCGAGTCAGTTCATGAAGGCTAATGGCATCAACAAACTCGGGAGGATAACTCTGTTGGGTGAAAACGGAATGGAATGGTCCGCGTATCTACTGTCAAAAGATGGAACGGTCGCTTTGGGAAATGGTTGGGATGAGTTTTGTGAAGCTAATGGAGTGAACTTAGGAGAGTCTTTCACTTTACAGTTCTTTAGTGAACAAGACAAAACAAGCCCTGTACTCAAGTTTTGTTCTCGAGAGAATAAATACAAAAATGTTAAATAGAAATCGAAAGCATGTAAAAGTGTTGGAACCAAACATTCAGAAAATACAGGGTAAAGAAGAAAGCTCTACATTAAATAGAATCCATATTGGACTTCACCAACCAAAAATAGTCGTCATCAATGAGTTTATTGCTTTCTTTTCTCTAAGAAATTGCAGTGTAGAGTTCAAGAGATATAGAGCTTCTGATAATGGCGAATAACCATTTCTTCAAGCCTCTTCTTCCAGGCTTTCACAGCCATTTGGTACTCTCTTTCTCTCTATATATCTATATATAATATGTGTCTTCGTCTCTCTGAGAAAGATGGGTCTGGTTTTGTATTTGCATGTTGCTTTAGACAATTCCTGAAGCCTTCTTGAAGTACATAGAAGGAAGAAATGAGCAAACGATGGCTAAGCTGAGATCAAACGCGTCCAAGATAATCTGGGAAGTGAAGGTAGAAGAAGATGGCCAGAGACTCACTGATGGTTGGAAAGAGTTTGCTCTTGCACACGATCTTCGAATCGGTGACATTGTCGTTTTCAGACAAGAGAGAAACATGAATTTCCATGTGACACTGTTGGGACCTAGTTGTTGTGAGATCCAATATGGATCATGTTTAGACAACGAGAACGAGAACAACCTCGGTGAGTTGTGTTCTCTTCCTAACTCTGCCCGTGACTCTAAATCTGAGACTGACATATAAGAAATGTGCTCAAGTAACTAAGTTTAAACTGATTCAAAGAGGAAAAACTCTGGTTCTACTTATGTCTACCGCAGAGTCCGTAGAAGACGAAGAAGAGAGCTCAGAAGGTGATGAAATAGAGTCTCTGTCCACAGAATCGGAAAGCAATCAAGAGAGCAACTTCGGTGAGTTGTGTTCTGTCTCTCTCTAGCTCTTGACTCTTAGACATTTATGAAACTTGCTCAGTAAGTGATGAAGAAAGCAACTTCGCGATTTTTTTCTTTTCCAGAGAAGATTCAAAGGAAGAAGAAAGTGAAGAAGCATCCAAGAAGAGAAGCTTCATCTTCACTAGATCCCTCTTGTTTTGTGGCTAATGTCTCACATGCGACCTTACGTTATGACAAACTGGTATTCTACTCCTAATCTGAACAAAAGAAAAAACTCTTATACTATTATTAGGGTCGGAATTATATCAAAATCATGTTGTATTGTAATGAATTTCCAGAATCTTCCAAGGACTTTTGCGAGGGGAAATGGTCTGGACACAAGAATGGGAGAGATTGTCCTGATGAACGAAAAGGGTAAGTCATGGACCTTAGATTTAAAAGGAAAGAAATCTTACGGAACTGTTTATATCAAACGAGGGTGGAGAAGTTTCTGTCATGCCAATGGCCTTAAAGCTGGAGGTTTCTTCACTTTCAAACTGATCCAAAGAGGAGGAACTCCGGTTCTACGATTATTGTCTGAAGAACCCGAAGAAGAATAGTGTTCAGAAAGTGACGAAATAGAGTCTCTTTCCACAGAAGGGGAAAGCGATGAAGAGAGCAACCAGGATGAGAAAAGGCTCAAGAAGCGTAAATCTTCACCATCCCAAAACCAACTTGTGACATTAACTCTTACACCTAACAATCTCAAAAAGTCAATACTGGTTAGCCTCATCACTCAAAACCATTTGTCTTTATTACATTCTATCGAGTCTAAAATCCTTGATATGAATTATTTGTTGCAGTTTCTTCCGGTACCCTTCACAAGGATGCAATCCCTCAGGATTCTCCTTCTCTCACAATCTTGATCAAACAACTTGATAACCATTCTACTAATAACACTCTCCCAATCTCGCACATGGCTTGTTCCCTTGACTCATCAATCCGTTATCCCCTTAGTGACGTGTCTCTCCTGAAGCCTTCTAGAAGCCGCCTATGACGTGTCCCCGATTCTTCTAGAATGATCTTATCCGAGCCACGTTACTTACTCAACTAGCCGTTGCTCTGCTTATCCTTCTTCGATCTAAGCCTCTGCCTTCTATACTGAAAGATGATTGGAGCTCCTCCCTGCTTAGCTCTATCAATACCCTCGCCTTTGAAAAGG